AAAAGATGGGAGTTGTCTTACCAACTCTGAGAGGCCCAAGTTGGTAAGACAACTCCCACCTTTTCATGCTCTCTGTATGTGTATATATATCTCCTCAATATATGTTCCATTCTATGCATCCGAAGAAGTGGGCTGTAGCCCACGAAAGCTTATGCTCAAATAAAATTGTTAGTCTCTAAGGTGCCACAAGTACTCCTGTTCTTTTTAGTAGGTATACAGTTACCCTCTGCTGGATAGAATCAGAACTGCTAATAACCCTAACAGCTGTCAGAGTTTCTCTTATCTCAGAAGCCTGGAGCCTGTGATTATGGGGCAGGAAGATGAGAGTTCTATTCCTGTTTCCACTGTATAGTTCCAATTAGTAATACTGTGAAGGAGAGTGGCAACTGTGAAGTTTTAGGCAGTTGCAGCTTTGCCACCATTCTTGCTCAACCTCAAAGGTGTATTGTGTGGCTAAGTTCATTGCTATGTAAAGCATTGTACAATGCAAAGTACTATTTACCACTGTCTTTTTAGATAACTAAATCCTCTCTGCGTTGAATGACTTATAGCTGAAAACCCATGTCTCTGATGCGAATTGTACCTGTAGTTTTAGTTTTGCCAGGGATTAGGCCTTTTTGTGGACCTATGGGTTAATAGTGGCTTCACCTAAATGCACTGATAATCTTTTAGGCAAGGACCCTTAAAAGATTTGTTCAAACACGTGGCAACGTGATGAAAGACAGCTGTGACTAGGGTTGGTATAGTGGTTCAGATGCCAACACAGATCTCCATCCTCACAAAAAAAAATTCACCCAAAACTGGAACCTCTATGAGGTTCTGAGGTGCTCAGCCAATGCACCACCCAAAGCTGGGTCTTGACTGGGGGTCCACTCCCTTGTTCTGCAGCAGCAAAACCAGAAATGCTTTGCTGGGCTCTTTTGCTGCTGTCGAGTCTGTGAATGCTCCCGAAAGCCGTTGTTAGATCTGTCCACCATCTCATGTCTTTGCTCCTAAATATTTTAATGTTTAAAGGGACAGCAGCAGCATTTCTGTGTCTTATTGCCAACGCCACAGATTCATTCCAAAAAGAATGACTGGCTTTCTTTTTTTTTTTTTAAGAAAGTATTTTTAAAAAATAAATACATTTGGGGGTTTTTTCCCTTTGATTTTCTGGTTTTTTGAGTTTTTTACAGTTAC